GGGTTCATCTCATGCATTGTTGCGCTCCTGCCGTCGGCTGTGTTTTAGCAGGCCATGCGGGGCGGCGGCGGTAAGCGCGCCGCTCACTGCGGTTGCCGTCCATGAAGGAGAGGGGCACGTCTCCAAACAGGGTGTTGCGCTGGATGGCCGCCGGGCACTCGGCGGCCAGCGCCTCGGTTGTCGCAGCGGCTGCAAGTTTTGGCCAGCCGCAGGGCGGAGTTTGGGAGGGAGGGCAACGGGGTGAGCTGTCCGCGAGTGCAGACAGACGCCGTGTGTATAGGCTGACCTCCGGCCTGACGCTGCGCGCCTGCCAGCTTGCCACAGCCCTGCACGGTCCCGACGCCCGCTGCTGCCTGTGAAGCGCGCGCCGCCCAGCGACCGGAAAGCCGCTGCGTACCGCTGGCCGGACTTTGTCATGCAATACATCGACCCCCACGCCAGGCCGGCCCGGGGCCCCCTGCCGCATTCCCGAGGCTGAGAGGCTCACCCTTGGAGTAGCCGCTGGCGCACTTTGCGTTGTACGTGCCGGCCCCCCTTTGGGCCAGGAGGTTGACCGCACTGCTGGGCTTGGCGGGCGTAAGGGGGCTGGGCAGGCGAGAGAAGAGGTTGCAGCGGCGCGAGTCCCAGCACATCGTCCAGGCCATGCAGACGCCGCCGGAGCCCTCCTTCTTGCACTTCTTGGCGCACTGCGCACACGACGTGAAGGGGGGCCTTGCGTTGTTTTTCGTGGTAACGCAGGGGAGGGGAGGGCAGCCTGCACACACGCTCGCGCGCTTTTCCACACTCCCAAGTTGCCCTGTCAAGTGCGCCGGCGTGGCTCTATTGCCTCGGCCTGCGACCGGCCGGCGGGCTTCAGAGCTGCAGAACCAGCAGATGAGCGGACAGCCCGGCCGACGGCGGCGGCGACAACCCGCGCGCGAGGCCAAGGGCCGCGGGGCAGCGTAGGGCGCGCGACCGCGCCCCCACCTTGTGCATGCCTGCAGAGGTCAGGCCGCTGCCCCAGAGCACGGTGTCGATGCTGCGGATGGTGTCGGCGTGCTGCCTGTGGGAGAGGTCTGTGGACAGCAGATAGGTGAACTCCTCAACATAGTTCTCGTTGTCCTCCAGGTCAGCAACCTCCTTGGCCGCGGCCGCAAACGCGCCTGGTTCAGGGGTTTGAGGAGACGCCGGGGTTAGGGGCCCGGGGCAGCAGGCGTAGCGGGTTGAGTGTGCTTGGCAGGGGCGGCTGGTGAGCGAGTGGTGCGCGCTACTGAGGTGCGCGGCGGCGCGTGACGGCGGGGCCGGGGCGTGGGCGTGCAGTTGCTGGTGTCGTCAGCTGATGCGTGCCGGCGCGGCTGTGCGCCCGAGCAAACACCGGCTATACTCGGTCCAGTATAATATTTACCTGAGACCATTAGGCCCCCCACGAGAGCGGCTACCAACGCGAGCTTCATCGTGTCGAGGGACCGCGGCGACCTATTCAGTGGTCTGCGCCAATTTTTTGCAACGCGCCGTACTTGTATGTTTGTAATGACTGAACCCTGACTTTGATGAACTGTAGACGTCGAAATGTTGAAGCAACGAGCTGAAGGCAGTGCGCAGCTGCCGAGCGAAGGTTGCGTGCTACCGTATCTCCTCCCGGTGCTATCACATGTTCTGCGAAAGACCCCATGAAAGTAATACCTCATTACGCACACACGTACAGGCATGTTGACGGCAACACGTACAGTACCGCATTGTTCGCACACATCGTTGGCACATGTTGCCAGGTGCAGATGCAGAGCGGATAGCACGCCTTGCAGTGCTGCCCCGTCCCGCCGCTGCCGTGCAATGCTCTGGGACTTTACAAGAATGCATTTGATCAATGCTGCACTCCATTCAGGGCCATCTTGAGCATCCAATGGCTCAACACCCGAATCAGCTGCCACGCTGCTGGCTCGCACAGCTGGAGGGAAAATCCCACACACGCTCAGCCAAGCGCCGCTGCAGCGTTGTATTTCGAAGGGTTTGCAACCGTCTGCATATTACACGTGGGTTGAGTTCTGCGCAAGATCTACTGCAGCAAACGGTCAAGGCAAGCACAGCAGCTGGCGGCGCGTTCCGCCGCATAACGTAATCAAACCACAAAGGGTAGGAACCACTACCGCTGACTACTAAATCGGCGACACACACGCGCGGCGGCGGGGGGCTTGCAGCCGCGCAGCCGCAGTGCATCGCCGGCACTAGCGCCGCGCCCCGCCGCCGGCGGCCGCAGCCGGCAGGGCTCCGGGTGGCGCGCCGGCCGCCGAAAGCGGCGGCGGCCGGATCCGCAGCACCATCAGGCTGACGTCATCCTTGCTGCGCTGCGCCACCGCGTGGGCCATCAGCGCCTCCGCCGCGCCACACGCGCCGCCCTCGCCCCCCGTCAGCGCGCGCGCCACGAGCGCCGCCGCGCGATCGGAGCTCGTCACGTCCCACAGCCCGTCGCTCGCGATGACTAACGCGGCGTCGTCGCCGGGCGCAATGACGACCCTCTCGGCGACGTGGGGGACCGCGGTGAACCCCAGGCCCTGCTCTTTCAGAAAATGATCCCCTAGCATGCGCGACAGGTTCAGGCCGTACAGGCGCGTTTGAACGGCCTGGCCCGACAGCTGGGCGAGGCGCGCCTGCTCGGCGGGGTTGGCGGCGATGCGGTGGTCCGCGGTCAGGCGCCGCCAGGCGGGGGCGCCGCCGCTGCGG